TTTCCCCTTCCATCTCTGCCCCTAACTAAGGGTTTCACACCATGCAGTGGGGGTACTTTATAAGTAAGAAAGCTCCTTCCATGGATTTAGGGGTAGAGGGAAGATTATACTTACAAATATTTGAAGGGATTTTCAAAGCCACACAGGAGTTAGGCTCTTTGAGTTTCAATGGGATTTGGGTGCCTAACTCTCTTAGTCTCCTTTAAAAATTCCAGCTATAAACATCAATTACCATGTATAAGTTCTGGAACTAGGGGTGCTGCTGCACCCTCTGGCTTGAAGTGGTTTCCATCATATACAGGGTTCACATTTGGTTCAATGGTTCTCAGCACCCCCACTACAGAAATTGTCCTCCCATAGAAGCCAATAAGAGTTTTGCCATGGATAGCAGTGGGAACAAACTGAGGCTCTAAGGATTTGATCCCGAGAGATGGTGAACAGCCACAATTCCCGCTGAATTCAACTCCTCCCAGGAACGGGCCTTTAAGGAGGAGCGGAGTTACCTGGGATGGTCAAAAAGAGTATAAAGTGGGTGTTGGAATCCCCATTATGACAAAAAGAAAAGGAGTACTTGTGGCACCTTAGAGACTAACCAATTTATTTGAGCATAAGCTTTCGTGAGCTTTGCGAATACAGACTAACACGGCTGTTACTCTGAAACCCATTATGACAGTTATTACCTGAGGCAGTACCATTTGCTGCAGAATCCATCCCACTCTGCAGAATTCAGCTCTAGAACCTACGCTTTCATTTTTTAAAACTGCTCCCATATTATTTTCCAAAGTCTGCTAAAGGTGTTAGACTTTCTGTTTAGGGGGATAGAATTCTACCCTCTGGGCAGATATCCCACCCACCCCCTTCTCCTCAAGCACATAGGAACTCTGAACCTATAGCCAATAGGGGCAACAGCTCTGAAAGGTCTGAGCTCACCTCCCCCACCCTTCAGCACCATGGGATAGTAAGTCTAACACCGAAAGCTGACAGTTTGAATGTCAGCATTGGTAAGGCTGATCACTTTAGCAGAAATTGCCAGCTACTGTGATTTTCCCAGATTCCAAACGGTCTCCAATGCTTCCCCAGGTCCTAAAAGCCTATATTGTGCCTACCCAGATGGCTAAAGCTCCAGTTTCCTGCCTGACAACTTCTACGATGCAGTTCTGCATTCCCAAGACATAAATCTGCAGCATACTGAAAACGGATCATGTGGAGACAGCATAAAATGAACTGAATCTCAACATGACACAGAGGACACTCTACTGAGTACATTATTCATTCCCATCTTTAATTCATTACATTTCTCCAATTTTTTTTCCAATTTACATGGAGCTGCAACACATTTTCCAGCCTGCTGTACTGGAAAGCTGCAGAGCGCATGGACCTTGCTATTGAATGTAAGACCTTCTTGTCATGTTGTACCTTGGGCCTTTGTCCTCAGAAAACAAGATAGCAATAGGTAGTAACCAGTTGTTATCTACCTGGGAGCTAAGTGTTTGTAGAAGCAGGTACTGGGAAGTAAAAGCAGGGATTCTGGCAGCAGGGGGAAGGGCAGGATTCTTGCCTGGAATAAGAACCACCTTTACTGAACCTCCAGTCTGCATTCCCCAGATGGTCTGCCCTACCAGTTCTTGGCCTGGAAGGGGAGACCCAGTTGTGGCTCTCACAGCGGGTGAAGGAGAGATGGTAGGTTGATTAGGAAGGTAAGATGAGGCCCCTGCTGCTGTGGGGAGGGAAAGAGAGTACATTTGTTCTGGATTGAGCTGTGACTTTCATTCCAGATCCTCCAAGGGTTAAAGCTAGTTTGAAGCACACAATGTAGGGAAAGACTGTTACATGGGTTGCAGGGAAGGCTAAATTGGCCTAATACAGTATTTTTTCCCATCCTTGATTTCCATGATTCCATAATAAACATACTCTGAATCAGCAAATGATATTTCCCATTCACATTCGCTATTTCTTCTCTGAATTCACCGCTCGCCTCTGGAATGATCTGCAGCTTTACCTTCCTCCTTGGAGAGAGACAGCTGGATGACTTCACTCCGTGCCTGGAAGCTGGCAATGAAGTCATCACCCCTTTTTGAGCACAGTACAGTTTCTATCACCCTCCGCTCAGGATCCACTGAAGCTCTGGAAATTCTTTTATATCCTTACATGAAATAACAACACAGTCCCTTGGTGACATTTTGTTCCCATTAGCACATGCAAAAGAGAAAAACAAAATACTTAATCCTGGCCAGATGAAAGAAAAATCTAACTGGGCTCCTGCACTGTCTCGCATGGACCAGAAGTCATCTTCTGTTGTCAGCTGCTTGACAGATGGCTATAAATGTAAACTGGAGTTATATTAGCTAGTCTTCTGCTTAAGAGTCGGATTCTGCTCTTATTTTAGTCAATGGCAAAACTTCCATTACAACTGGGCTGTGCTCAGGAGAATCATGTCTTAACTTTTTTACAAATCACATTGCTAAGTGTAGATTGTGTTTAGATGTGGGTAGAGAAGTGGTATTTGGATCTGGAATTGAATTAGGCAGGGGTTTCAGGCTGGATTCACTGCTATTGAAATCTCAGACAGTTTTGACCCTCAAATGGTGGTAACTTTGTAAGAACAACTAATCTTGCGAGATTTCTGCCCTATTAAAAATGGTAGCAGTCTCATGAAATCAGCTGTTTTCTTTTATGAAATTTCTGCCATTTTTGCCAAGTCACTTTGCTGATTATTTATTTTTTCTGTTTCTAAGATGGCTTCCTGTTTTGTTTGATCCTTTGTTATTGTCCAATTACTGTATTTCCTGTGCCCACTCTACTGATTTCTAACTTAATCTTCCTGGTATTCATAGACATTTCTGTGGCAGGAACACTTGATTTTGCTTTACAGCTTATCGTTGGCAGGAATTTGACTTTGTATCAAACTGCAGCTTCTGTCATGCAAACTGATGTAGCTCTGTTATCTTCAGTGGAGATACATTGACTTCCATCAGCTGAGGAGCTGGAATAACATTGGCTGGAAGGATTTCTAATACAGTACGGGGCCTAAAGGGAAGTGTAAAAGTGGTTCAAGGAAGAATGATGAATTATTGATTATTAATAGTAATTAATGAAAGTATACAATACTATAAATGCACACCGCACTTCTAAGACACATTGTCCCACCCCAAAAGCACTTAGCGTCTGACACAGAGAAGGCAAAACATGGGATCCCAATTCATTTAAGGAATAGTGAGTATCGATTAATGGGGAAGAGAGACTCACATAGTAAAAACTTTAGGAAGAAACAGGTTTTAGGGAGGGATTTGAAGAAGGGGACTTGGTGCGTAGAATCAGGGAATCTCTTCCAAGCACACAGGTCTGAAAGCTGGGAGTGGGAGGTCACTTCTGGCAGGAGGCTAAAGAGGTACAATCAGGAAGATATTTGAAGTGTATTACAGCAACTTTATTGACCCTTCTCAGCCATGCGACATATTTTTACATGCCAGCTGGAAGCGGCAGCCAGTACATCCCTTGGCCCGCTCCGCTTCCAGCGGCTCCCATTCGCCTGGAGCAGCGAACCGCGGCCACTGGGAGCCGCGATCGGCTGAACCTGTGGACGTGGCAGGTAAACAAATAGGCCAGGCCCACCAGGGGCTTTCCCTGCACAAGCGGCGGAACAAGTCTGGGAACCACTGGATTAGATGTTACTTGCAGCCCCTTCAAAACCTATGATTCTATAATTCTATGATTCCAAGGCCAGAAGGAACCATTGGGATCATCTAGTCTGACTTCCTGTATAACAGAGGCCCCAGAACTTCCCCAAAATAATTCCTAGACCATCTCTTTTAGAAAAACATCCAATCTTGATTTGAAATTTTCAAGTCATGGGGCATCCACCCCAACCCTGGGCAAATTGTTTCAATGATTCATTACTCTCTCTGTTACAAATATACACCTTATTCCCAGTTTGAATTTGTCTAGCTTCAGCTTCTAGCAATTGGATCGTGTTATACCTTTCTCTGCCAGACTGAAGAGCCCGTTATTAAATATTTGTTCCCAATGTAGATACTTATAGATGGGAACCAAGTCACCTCTAGACCTTCTTTTTGCTAAGCCAAATAGATTGAGCTCTTTGAGTCCATCATTGTAAGGCAGTGGTTTTCAAACTTTTTTGTGGGGATGCCCACAACCCAGTGGAGCTGGGGATGAGGGGTTTGCGGTGTGGGAGGGGGCTCTGGGCTGAGGTAGGGGGTTGGGTTGCAGGAGGGGGTCAAGACTCTGAGCTGGGGTGCAGGCTCTGGGGTGGGCCAGGGATGAGGGGTTTGGGGTGCAGGAGGGGGCTCTGGGTTTTGCGGGGGGCTCAGGGCTGGGGCAGGGGATTGGGGTGGGGGCTTATCTCGGGCGGCTCCCAGTCAGCAGTGGTGTTAAGGCAGGCTTCCTGCCTATCCTGGCACTGTGGACCGCGCTGCACCCTGGAAGCGGCCAGCAGCAGGCCCGGCTCCTAGGCGGAGGCACGAAAGTGGCTCTCGCCCACAGGCGCTGCCCCTCCAACTCCCATTGGCTGGGAACTGGCCAATGGGAGTGCGGAGCTGGTCCTTGGGGCAGGGGCAGTACGTGGAGCCCTGTGGCCCCCGCACCTAGGAGCCAGACCTGCTGCTGGCTACTTCCGGGGCACAGCACAGTGTCAGAACAGGTAGGGACTAGCCTGCCTTAGCTGGGCAGCACCGCTGACAGGACTTTTAATGGCCCAGTCAGTGGTGATGACCAGAGCCGCCACGACTCAGTGCCTTACATTCCGTGACCCAGTACTGGGTCATGACCCACAGTTTGAAAACCATTGCTATAAGGCATGTTTTCTAATAATTTAATGATTCTCGTGTCTCTTCTTTGAACCCTCTCCAATTTTTCAGTATCCTTCTTGAATTGTGGACACAGGACTGGACATGGTATTCCAGCAGTGGTCACATAAGTGCCAAATATAGAGGTAAGATAACCTCTCTACTCTTACTCAAGGTTCCTCTGTTTATGCATCCCAGGATTGCATTCGCACTTTTGGTCACAGTGTCCCACTGGAAGCTTACGTTCAGCTGATTATCCACTGCGATCCCCACATCCTTTTCAGAGTCACGGCTTCCCAGGATACATTCCCCCTTCCTGTAAGTGTGGCCTACATTCTTTGTTTCTAGATACGTACATTTACATTTAGTTGTATTATAACACATTATTTGCTTGGACCCAGTGTACCAAACAATCCAGATCTCCCTGAATCAGTGAAATGTCCTCTTCACTATTTACCATTCCCTAAATTTTTGTGTCATCTGCAAACTATCAGTAATAATTTTATGTTTTCTTCCAGGTCATTGATAAAAATGTTTAAACAGTGTAGGGTCAAGAACCGATGCCTACGGTACTCCACTGGAGACACACCCACTCGATGATGATTCCCCATTTAATATTACATTTTGAGACCTATCCATTCGCCAATTTTTAATCCATTTCATGTGTGCCATGCTAATTTTACATCGTTCTAGCTTTTTAATCAAAATATTGTGCAATACCAAGTCAAACACTTTACAGATTATTGCCTTTATCAATCAAATTTGTAATCTCATTAAAAAAATCAAGTTAGTTTGACAGAATCTATTTTCCATAATCCCACATTGATTTGCATTAATTATATTACCCTCCTTTACGTCTTCATTAATCAAGTGCCGTATCAGCAGCTGCATTAACTTGCCCAGGATCAATATCAAGCCTATAATTATCCAGATCCTCCAGTTTTCCCTTTTTAAAAATTGGCACAATATTAGCTGTCTTTGAGTCTTCTGGAGCTTCCCCAGTGCTCCAACACTTATTGAAAATCAATATTAATGGTCCAGTGAGCTTCCCAGCCAGCTCTTTTAAAACTTTTGGATGTAAGTTGTCTGGACCTCTAGTTTTAAATTTTTTTAACTTTAGTCTGAAGAAGAGCTCTGTGTAAACTCAAAAGCATGTCTCTCTCACCAACATAAATTGGTCTAATAAAAATATTACCTCACCCATCTTGTCTTTCTAATATCCCCAGATTGACATGGATACAACGCTGCTTATAACTTCAGTAACTTCTGTTTAACATCCTCCAGAGATACTAGTGGAAAGATTATCATCATCACCATATGATGAGACTATATCATCTGTTTTTCCCCAAATACAGAAGAGAAATTTTATTGAACATTTCTGCCTTTTCTGCATTATTATCAATAATGTTACCTTTTCCATCTAGTAAGGCACCAAGACCATTGTCAGGATACTTTTTGTTCTTAACGTATTTTAAAAACTCCTTATTGTCCTTAACTCTGCTGGAATAGATGTCTCTCTATGTCCCTTTGCTTCCCTTATCAATTTTATGCAGTTCCTAGCTCTGATTTATATTCATTTCTATCAACTTCCCCTTTCTTCCATTTGTTTATATATAACAAATGGAAGAAATTATGTTACTGTGCCTTCACTTCCCCTCTAAACCAGGTCGGTGTTTTTTTAACTAATATGTCCTTCGTCTTCGATTGTGGCATTTTGGGTATTTACTAAGGTGGTCTGAAATTATTCCCACTTATAATTCCCAAATATGCATGTCCTTTATATAGAACTCTGATAATAGGAGAAAAACAGAAGATGAAGGGAAGACCTTACACCCCCTTGGCCCCAGCAACTGCAAGTTTCCACTCTCGGGCTCCTTCTGTTCCCCTTCTCATCAGTTTTGTTTTGCCCACACCACAAATTTCCCCTTCCCATTTCCTGAATGGGAAAGCTAGAACTTTTTAAAATTAAAACAAAGACTCTCCTTTTGTCTGTCTCTGTGGTTCGATCGGCTGAAGAGGGGACAGGGCAACGGCTATGCTGTAAGAAGCTTGGGGCCAGGTTTGAAAAATCCTCGGTATCATAGCTAGAAACTACTCATTTGAAACCCCATATATGTAAGTAGATCAGGAAATGTCTAGGAAGATGCGATTAGGTTTCTCTCTTTTTATTTCTTTATGGCTTGTGGATTCCTCTGTGCTAAACCCAGGTGTTTTTGTTTTGCTTGTAACCTTTAAGCTGGACCTAAAGAAAGCTATTCTTAATGCTTAATCCTTGTAGATTTTTTTTTAAAATCTAGCAAATGCCTAAGTCCCCAGATGTATTTTCTCTCTCTTTTTTTTTTAAATAAAATTTACCTTTTTAAGAACAGAATTGGATTTTTGTGTCTTAAAAGGTTTGTGCACATGTTGTTTAATTAGCTGGTGGCAACAGCTGATTTATTATTTTTCTTTCTCAGCTCTTCCCCAGTGGGGGAGAGGGGTGAAAGGGCTTGAGGGTACCCCACAGGAAGGAATTCCCAAGTGCGCCTTCCTGGGCTCTCAAAGGGATTCTGCTCGTGGTTGGTGGCAGCATCTACCCATCCAAGGTCAGAGAAAAGCTGTAACCTTGGGGGTTTAGTACAAGCCTGGAGTGGCCAGTATTAATTTTTAGAATCCTTGCGGGCCCCCACTTTCTGCACTCAAAATGCCAGAGTGGGGAATCAGCCTTGACATTGTCCTTCACCCTCTCTCATCTCTGCATCTTCTTCCCCATGTGCCCTTCCACCTGGAACCTCTTCCATCACCAGTTTTGCCACATCTCCCCCCTCCTTCAGATGTGCTTTTTCCAACAGGCCAGCTGGTCTCTATCCCTCCCTTGAGGGAATTGCTCAAAACAATTTTGTAAAATAAAATTAATCCATGCCAGGCATTATAGTACTTAACTGCTCATTCATGCCCTTTCCCTGGGTTTGTATATTGCTTGCCCAAATTGCAAGCTCTTTGGGGCAGGGACCCCATTATTGTGTGTGTGCAGATCCTAAGTCATGGTAAGTAACAGCAGAGTTTTAGACAGGGATGAGAACCTTGTAGATGAATTGCAGCTTGGATATGGTGAAAGAGAGGAAATCACTGAAGGAACTGAAGGATGAGGTGATGTGGTCAATGCAGGGAGAAAGGATGATGACTTTAGCAGTGGCATTTTAGATAGACCAGAGTGGGAGTATCAGACAGACGGGGAGGAAAAAGTTTATAAGGAAGAAACATAACCCAAGGGAGGACAAGCCTGTTGGGACAGGGAAGAAGGGCTGATTTTTGAGAGGTAGTGTCGTGTAGTGAATAGCCCAGCGACCTGGTTTCTATTCTCCGCTCTGCCACTGACTTGCTGTGTGACCTTGGGCAAACTTCTGTATGCCGCTCTTTCTCCTTGCACCCCTTTTTCTATTTATAATAAGCTGTTTTAGGGCAAGGATTGTCTCTTATTATGTGTTTGCACATCACCCTGTCACAGGCTTGCCTGAGTGATGGGAATGTCTCACAAAACAAGCTGCTCTGATTTTACAGCAGTAAATTGATATTTAAATCAAAATGGCCCCCTGAGCTTTAAAATTCTACAACATAAAACAACAGCCCTTCATTGACCTAATCAGCAGGTGCTGTCAGAGTTAGTCCCCTAAACAAGCCCGGGTTCTTGGGTTAAGATAAGGGAGATTCTTCCATCCCCCATCCCACTTTCACCTAGAACTGGCCCCTGGAAGAAGCAGCCAGCCCCTTTTATCTTGTCTGCTGGGCCCTGATTGGCTTCTGCCTATTCCTGGCCCTTCTAGCCACTGGAACTAATCTTCATTGGTTCTGCCTGCGGCTGATCCTGGATGGACTCTCTATGCAGTTCTTGGAGGACTGAACTCAGTGCTTCTCTTCTACAAAAGGACACCTTCTTTCAGTGGGGTGTGACAAGTGAATGGGACCTCCAGCAGGGGGCAGCAAATGCCTGGTAGACCCCATCCCAGGCCTGAAATGCAATTTAGGCCCCTAAGCTCTACTGTATTATGAATAATAATACTAATGATATAGCTGGGATGTGACGGAGAGAACGACAGAGAGAAGTCAAATATTACACTGACAATGTGTGTCTGGAAGATAGGGAGAATAGACAAGATGTCAGCTGCAGCAGAGAAGGGAGAAGACAGAAAGAAAGATTAAGGAGAAAGATGAGAAGCTCATTTAAAAGGAATGGATTACCCACTCAGAGGGAGGGAGAGTTGACTACAGAGGGATTGTAGAGAACCACAATAGGGACAAAGAAATGGAAACTCCACCACTAGAGGGAGATAACCCAAAGCATTCTGGGAAAAATACTGGAGCTATCAGTTCTCTGCATCCATGTCCTCCTGCCTTTTAAATCCAGCATGCTTCCTGTTTGTTGGCCACTGAAACACTAGGTTAACAAAAATAAACCTAACTTTATTATTTCCATGCATCCCCCAAAACTTATTTCTAACACAGTTGTCATACAACTGCTGATATCTACTCTAAATCCATATAATATTTACAGAATTAAAAAAAAGAAAGAAAGAAAAGATGTGTTTTTAAGCCAGTCCTATTTTTAAGCACACCATTGGTTTCAGCAAGAAGTATCTTTTTATATGGTTGTGTTCTTATGGAACACATAGTGTTCAGTGAATCCTATGTTTATTCTTCTATTGTGACATAAAATGTATCAGATAAAAGTCAATCACAAAGCAGTGCACATGTTGTAATGGATCATCTATGCTGAAAGCCACTGTGGAGGATGCATATTTTACGAGAAGTACTTGAAAAGAAGATTGTTTGGTGCACAAAGGATATGATCCAAAGCCTATTGAAGTCAATGGCAAGTTTCCCATAGAGTTGAGTGGGCTTTGGATCAGAACTAAGGAGAGGGAGCTAGTTCCAACCATAAAGGGCACCATAAAAGGCAGCATGAAAATTAAAAATAAATATAATGGTGAAATCCTGGCTGAATTAAAGTCAAAAGGAGTTTATCCATTGATTTGAATGGGGTCAGGATTTCTCCCAGTAAGCCATTAAATGATACTGTTAGTGACCTACTGATAAAATTATTCATATTGGTTAAAGGTCCCATGAGACATGCAGTGGCCATACAAGTTCCAACATACATGCCTCATCCCCCACTGGAGAAACCACTCCTAATGGTGAGGAGGTCATTCACCCTCTCTGCCTTCTCAGCAGCTTCTCTCCTGAGACTGCCAAGGAGGGTGCCAAATGTGATGTGTGCACCTGTCCCCCTAGAGTAAACTGCAAACATATAATAGAGGCCACTGAATGGTGATCAGGTGTCAATGGCTTGCTCACCACTGACCCAAGCTGGATGTGAGCTAGTGACTTAGGGTCTGAGTCAATGCCCATAGAAGTCAATGAAAAGACCCATTGGCTTTGATGGATATTGGATCAGTTCCACTGACTGTGATGGACACTGGATTAGCTCCTTGGCGGTGGAACTGTACTGTGTTACCAGTCCCTTGAGCCATCATGGCTCACTGCTTTTGTCTTTCCTACCTTGTTTTGTGTGTGTGTGTGTATGTATACTTTGCCATGTACATCTCTATTTTTCTTTTATTCTCCCTCCTTTTCCAGTAAGGAATGTTTTTAAAAGCAAGTGTCTCTGTCTGAGCTCCTGTGAACTCTGACTCTCTTTGAGAAATGTTCGTGCTGTTTAACTTAAAGAATTTCTGAAAACGTATAAGGAAGGAATTTCATAAACTGTTCATTGAAAAACATTCCATACATTCCCTCTCCTCCAGAGACACCCGTGTGTGGTCTCTGTCGAGGTCAGATTAGGGGGCTACACAATAGGGACCAAGATTCCAGCACTCAGAAAACAGCATATTGTCAGCTGCTCTGCCAGGATGGAGAAAGATCTGATGTCTCCCATTGCCCAAGGCTGGTAAAGATCAGACATGACAAATGGATGGTAAATATATAGGCTCTCCCAAGGTAGGAGCAGGGAAGTTCCAGCCAAAATGCTCATGAACACTACAACATAACTGTTAACAGATTGACATTAGGCCACTCTCCAAGCATATCATATCTTCAAGGGACAGCAGGTTGATCTGAAAGCAAAACAGACATTTTCAGTTATGGTTTTACCCATTAAAGATAGAGACATTCCAGGGCTCACTCAGAAGTCAGAATGGGATTCCTAGCACACTTGATGGCTGGACAGATGTGTGCAGAGTGGGATGAACACAGAAGCTGGGTATTAACCAAAAATAGGAAGATACGCCCAGAAGAGGATATAAACTTGTTTTAAAGCTCCCTACCCCATTTGAAAGTCACTTGCACTTGCAGCATGGTAATCTCGCTGAACAGTCTGAAGCTGCAGAATGCAATATGCTGCCAGTCCTCGCTATCCACTATTTTAAAACACCCATGTCTTTGTTATTTCAAAACTCAAGTACTCTGAAACATGCCAAAGGTACCACTCCTAAGCCAGTGCAATGGAAATGACACATCAAAGGTTTTAAAACAAAGCTATCTGAGTTAAAGAAAAGCATCAGAAAAATGTCTTTGGTAGAAACCCCTTTTCTGTTCACCACTGAATCACTCCAAAATGGACTTTTCTGAAACTTCCCCCTAGTTCC